TTGTAAATGTTCTCAACATCACACTTAGGTATTCACCTAAGCTTAAACAACGGTCAAACCGTAATATCGCCCAACCGCTTGCACAAAGTGTTGTAAATGTAAGAGCTTACGGAGGTTAATTGGCAGAAGGTTTACGGATGATTATCGATGGATCAATGTGAACTGCTGATATGTTTGATATTCAGAACTATGAGGAGTTAGGAGGTAGAAAGCGCTAATTATATACACATCTGAGGTAGCTAGACTCTCGCCTTATTTACCCAAAATAGTACCACGGAATATTCTAGTCTCCTCCATCTGGCAGTACAATCTAGAAACACTTTCTACACAGTGCTCCATTGTTTCTCTACTCATCATGGAGCCACCTGGAAAGTTCTTCCTTCACCCTCAGTGATTGTTACCCTTGTGCATCGTAATCCTGGCATCACCAGCACAACACAAAGAGCCCGACAACCTGTTACCCGGACAAGCCAAACCAGAACCACCCGCTAAAGAAGTAAATGACGAGTTAGAATGGGTAATCAAACGCATACTGGACGCTTGCTTATACCACCACCGTCTACAGTAAGAGGTTCAGTGGAAGGGATGAGACACCGACAAAGAGTGATACCCTGCAGCAAATTTCCGTAATGCACCTATGATGCTCGAAAAATTTTAGATGGATCACCCAGTGATGCCAGGCCCATCTAAACGTCTACCCACCTGGCTCGATGATGCGGCTCATAATCATTTCAGTGAAGAAAATCCCGAGGAAAACATGGCGACTTGGTGAACATATTGCGCAATGAAATTGGCGCAATATTTATGGAACCAAAGAAGAAGTTGACTAATAGAGTATCTTGTTCGGATTACGACTAAAAGTATGGTAAGTGTGCGCTACAAGTGCAAGTGCAGTCATCAATAAGATACGGAAAGTCTCCCAACTCCTTTCCAGCTGTTCCCTCCAATTTGATTCCTCTAATTCGATCCCTATTAATTGTATCTTAGTTTGATCATGATGCCCGTGATGATCAAATTACAACTACCACCTCCTCTGGTCCAGCGCGCCGCCTAAGAGCTCGAGCTAATTGGGTTCAAACCTTTCACAACAAGTTTTGGGCAGCCGTGGAAGAGGCAAATCCCCTCATCCAGTCCTTTGTTCGCGAGCACATGGACACGTTTCTATTCGGAGTTGCTTCCGGGCACCATATGCAACACGACAGCCAAAGATAACACAAGTCATCTACCAGCTGTAATGGCTGAATTTCTCCTGATGATTTTAGCCTCTCCTGTATCTGTTTGAGTACTTCTCGGCAAGTCATGTGTCCAAAAATCAAGTGCCGATGGTTTGGATGGAGGGATTCGAAAATCATAGTTCTTTACTCGTCAATAGATCTACACTTCTGTTTGCAGGACTAAATACCAACCCGGTACTACGAGTTATCTTCTCTAAATATCACTTTGTCATCATCACTTAAGTCTGCAAATTAAATAGCAACTTCAACATAGTCTGATGAAATTGGTTTCTGGGCTCAAAGTGCGCAACTGTATCATTCGGGTCGATAAATTTCCATATACCACTATCAGTTGCGTGGCCTTGGATCATATCAATACATTCCAGAAATGCGTCAGTTGTAAGGTAGGCTGTTTTAAAGTATGCCACATTTTAACAAATTGACTGATGATTGTAAAGGTCCTAAATGGTTTAAATATATACATTGATTAAAATTGAATTTCCTAGCAAATTGCCGAGCTCATAACAATCGGGTGTTGATAACTTGATTCAAATATGAAGAGAATATTTGACTGTAGCTGAAATTGATAGAGATAACTCGATTATTCTTCAATTGAAAAACTTGCTTCCTAAAACCTACATTTTCCTTATATATATACATGTACTTGATTTACATTGATGATGCAACAAGCTTTAATCAAATGGTATGGAATATTCTATATTATTCCAGTAAGCTCTATTTATACATCGCTGATATCTGATTAGTAGACTCAAGCACATCAAAGCGCCAACAGTACATTTCACGGAGGGTTAGATGACTGTTATGGCTATAAGCTATGCAAAAGCCATATTGGGGAGTGATGAGGAGTGGATGATAGTGAATAGAATCAAATATTACTATGCTGTAGGTATATGAACAGAAAGTATAAGACTAAGCCTGTATCCTTCTTTTGTGGGTGCATCTATGAAACTGTACTGGTGAACCAGTAATGAGGATCCCAACATCAAACCAAGGAAACCCCCAATTAGAATGAAAGAGAAAAGTTGTATTTAAATAGTCTGTGCTACATAGTTAGAAACTCAAATAGGACATAAATGGATAAATAATAATAGTAATAATTGTTGGAATTACTACAGTGTGGTTTCACGATCAATCGTAAAGGTTGAGAAAGAGTTAATAGTATTATGTCTGTCTATCTGTCTTGTCAAGGAGAGAGAGTCCCAACTCACAACCAAAGTGGGACCTAGCTAGCATGTTCATACCGAGCTTGTCATGTGATCCCCATGATGACAAATCTATTTTAGTGGAGCTCTATGAACCGACAATAATAATAATAATAATAATTTGTGTAAAACTTAGAGAGGTCTTTGTGTGAGTGTCATGTGAATCGTCAAAAGATGAAAACAAATCCAAGAATGAATTGATTGATTATCTCCGTGCTATGATGGACTCGTAGCACTATAATATCTAGTTCTACCCTATTGATGCCCCTGATCATCATTACTAGTCTGACATGCCTGCACGCAGATCGTGCTTTCGCTTTTGGACTGGATCCAGACTTATGCAAGCACAAGTCTGCTTACAATATGAAAACAAGAAACTAACCCAAAGTAGCTTAGCAATCCAAATTCGAAGCGAGCATATCGGGCTCAATTTGTATTTGCACAGAAGGAAAATACCTGGAGTCTACAATCCATGCTGTCCATGTGGCTACCAATCACAAAATCCCAAGCACTTGATCATGTCCTGCCCTAAGTGGTCAATTGGTAGAGGAGAAATCTGGAGACAAGCCCGAAATCGCTCCTTTGAAGCAATGACCAACAATCCTAGCGATATGAAAAGAATCATACGATGGATTCTTAATCATGGTTGGATAGAACAATTCCGCTTGACAAATGCAGTCGAAATGCTGCTCAGGGAACGAGAGGGAACATGTAGAAGGTTGGGATTGATAGAAGGGACGTGATTGGTACACATTGACGGCGTTACAGTGTAACTGTACTTCCTGAAGGATAAACTGCAAACCATAACAATTAAATCAGAAAGCTTGGGGGGTTTTCACCGAGAGGTTTCCTCCTATGTAAATATATAGATAGGTTTATAGCCACCTGCATGGGCCCATAGGGCGCCAAATCAGGATAATGAACACAAATCAAGTAATAATATGAAACTGTATACATGCTCGCCTAACCAATTCACTAGTAAAATATACTGTATCCTTGAGCCACACGCGATGTCTCTGCCTCGTCTACTTGGTCATCTCCCATCATGAAAATAGCTCAGCTCAAAGTTGAAAAGATGTTACTCAACCTCGGCCCGGCAGACTTTACAGTGTGAACTAAAGCTTCGTAGAGGACACCACCGACAGGTGCCGAGTCTTGTCCCCCATCACCACAGTAAGATTGTAAGAATAAAATATTAAGGTAGGGAGGGCTTCTATAGCTGCATGACTGAAGAGAAGACAAGGTAATTAGCATAGGGGAAGGAGGTCGGATAGAATCAGAAGCGACAGTATATATTCAATAAGATTGAGACAGTCAAAAACTACCAAGTACGAATTTTCTCCAAGCAACTGATCTACATGAGTCGCGTTACTGAGGCGACTCCTAAGTTTGACCTTGACTGGCTCAGATAGCTCTTGCACCAACTAGAAACACCTCTTTATGTAACATAAGAGAATAAAAGATTAAAAAGTTGCACAGCTCTCTTGAGTATAAGTAAGGACCGTGTCATGATTCAACTCAGACTAACACAAGATCTAGCTCTGACTCCAACTCTGACGACAATAGGCTCGATCCAGGCTGGCGTGTTAGCTTACTCATCATCTAACAGTGATTGAGTCAGGTTTGGTGGGAACTTTTTCTTGGTCCCGATACTTGAGTGTTTCGCCATGACTCTGGTCGATTTACATGGCTTGATATCTAAAGCTCAATTCAACTATCTACTGTGCTCAAATGCCATTCTTCTCATTCCTCCAATATTTCAGCCATCACGCTGTATATTTAACTTTACTATGGGGGGAATCATTCCTTACTACCATGTATTACCTTCTTGCAGTAGCATCTGCCCCTTCTGCCGCGACCCGTGGCGCTCTTTCTCCTGTCAACATTCATTTTATATCAGCCTCCAGCATCTCTGGCGTGGAGATAACATTCGCTATACACTGTACAAGATTTATGCAGGCATACTACTATTACTGTAAAGGTGGAGAGCGGCTGTGATGCGATAACGATAGAGAGGAGTACCAGTAGGCGAAGAGAAGAGTATGAGTCTGACAAATATAGAAGATTTATATGGATACGATGTACAAAGATGTGATTTTATTATGTTATATCCATCGACTCCTTCAACCCATGTGTGTGTGTGAAAGAATCGTAGCCTCACTTCAACCTCGCTACACACGCCTTACATATGGCTTAGTCACAATTACCAATAGAGAACAATTGGTGCAGGTGTGAATCCTCTAAAATCGACAAATATTAACAAACATTACAAGGTTCATTATAATGTAGTCCAGTATTTCCCCATGCAAATTGAATGATTTATCCACAGCCGAGTTCTGGGCACTTGACAACAAGGTTATGAAGTGAGTCAAACTGCTTGATACTAGAAGACGTTGAGGTGCCGTTGTTAGATCGGGAGGAATGAGTGAAGGAGAGAGGAGTGTAAGCTAGTGGTATTCTATTGGTGCATTCTCATTTCAGTTCTATTCAAATGAGGTTTTGTGCAAATTCAATTATCAGATCCTGTCTTGATACAATCGCCGCGGTGTTGTGATGCCTATTTTTAACCGTTTCGGAGGATACATGGTTGCCAGGTTGATTCATTATATTCAAAAAGTCGGTACGACGGTTCCATTCCAACGACTTGGAATAAGTACGACATCTTTACTGGTTATGGAAAGGACTGGTTAGTAAGACCAAAGTTTGAGGAATAGACAAACTAACCTTTATTTTGTAATCTTTCGGTGAATCGTGCTGCTTTACACTGCTGCCCCGTGATAACTTCAGGGTCGTCACTTCGCACTTGGTCGATAGAAGCTTTTTTTTTGTATTTTTCAATGGCAGAGACGGTGAATGTTTTCTCACTCACACATTGATAATACATTTTTCCATATGCGGCTGGCACCAGGAGTAAAAGACCAGCCATTGCTGCGACTGTAGCAGCACGAAGAAACTTCATTGAAAGACTTTCGTTCCCGTCGAGCTAATCTTTGAACTTGAGGTAGTGAGTCACCCGAATTTGAGGTCAAAGCACAACGGAGAATGAAGACAAGATATGATTAATCCAAGTAATTGAATTGCGTATTTTGTATTGCATGCAGACGTTTCTGCTGGCAAGGGTCAAAGGCGCTTTTTTCAAAAATTTTGATGGTGTTTATTGCGAGATCCAAGACTCTCATGCTCTTGTAATTTTGAAAAGGTTTAATTTCAACATCTCTATATAGGTATTTGGGTGTTGACCCTGTAGCATCTAGGACCTGTTCCATGACTAGTTTTGTGAAAGGAATGAATGAGCCAAGCTCTGCCTCAAGGATTCCCTCCAGGAGTAATGTGAGTGAAGCAAACTTAATTGCACCATCAAAGGAAGAGTGGATTTCATTCTGGCGAGGTATGTACCAGGAAAAGTACCCAATCTTCAATCGTGTTTAAGACGAAAAGCCGCGTTAGCATCGTTGAATTTGTCGCTGGTTGGTAATGAAAACTATCATTGACATGGAAAATATAAAGGCTTATTCCTTTGATAGCCGGGCTCATGATTTCTCATATGTTTGCCAGCCTCCCACTATCCACGATGAGCAACTAGTCGTGTCCTTCGCCTAGCTGTAAGAGGCATCTTGTATATGTGTGCCAGTCGAGAAGTCTTCAAATTGGCCTGAGATGCACGATCAAATAGTTTACATTCCTTGCAAGAAGTGAAAATACACGTACAAGAAAGACTTATCTATACCCGCAGATTCCTTCAACTCGTGGCCACCTTTTACACTGTTTGCCCCGTGCCCGTACAAGTGCTATTGGTCGGCCGAGCAGTGGAGTGAATTTTGTTGTAAATGAAATATCAGTATATTAGTAATAATCACCTTGATTGCAAAATGGTTCCCAATGCAATCCCTATATTCACTACTTAGACTCCACTTTGCCTTCCCCACTAACATTCGTGAAAATCCCTACAGGCGTGGATCCGCTTGGAAGGCGCGACACTATTGAAAAGTTCGTCGCTCTTCCCTCTAACACATCACGTGATTGTCTTTTCACGACTCATGATGATCTTGGGTTAATATCTACAACCAATTATTCAATCTAGTCTCCTCCTTTGTTCCTTGACTGATACTCTTTTCGTCTGACGGTTTTCCATTGGCTGACGCTCCAATGGGTGGGACTAATGTCTGCATTGGCCAACATAGGTTACAGAGGCTACTCTCGATTCACCAGCCGTTATGGTCGTACTCTAACACAAAATGAGATTAATCAATGGCTTTAAACTATTGCTTTCACGCTTTTTAATTTCCCAATTCTATTCACCACGTGATATTAACCATGGGCCAAACTGTTAGGTTTCGTATCATATCCCCTCTTCAAAATTTTGCACTTGGAAGATCAGGATTATAAGCTGTTGAGGTGATAGCAATGCGGAAGCTTTACTGCAAAATGGTGAGAGGCGCATGATTTTATTAGCTGTGGGTGAATTACACCACTTGGTGAAGCGAATGGGAGAATAGGAATGTCTGTAAATCTGATATGAAGAGTTTGTAATTACTCCCACTTTGATACAGAGTGCTACATAAGCTATATTCTGTCATAAGAAAGTCTAGTGGTTGGTATTTACATCAAAGCACATTTATACCAACCTCAAAATTTATAGGAGGTAACTTGTCTGTATTCTGCACACTCTTGTATCAACCATAGCTCGAAGCATAAGTGTCATGGCAGGACATTCTAAATCAGGATTTGAGCAGATGGTTCAAGGAATAGCAATTTATCCAAGGCTGAAGATCTGGCCTTGTGTTATCAGACCACACAAGGCACCAATTTGGATAGTCTAATCTATTTTAATTGTATCAAAGGGAGCTGATGCCACTAGCAAAACCTACTTCGCTTTTTCTATTTAGTTTCTCATCTTCTTATAAGCCTGTATCAACCATACTTGTTATCCTATACATCTCTCGTCTCCACCTCCCAGCACCTCACAAGTTCAGCCCTGTATCCGCAACCTTAATTACTATCCACTTGCACTTAAGCTTATAGTTACTACTAGGATGTCTCTAGTAGAAGGCGATCTACAATATCACCAGCACACACTTTAACAAACAGCCTCATCGAAAACAGGTTACAGATAATTTGAGTGAAAAGCCTATCCCTTCTGGTGGAAAATATACTCTGTACAACATTTAATGGATATATGTGTTAACATTTCTATCATGATTTCGACCCGTACAAACATACAGTATATTAGTAACTCATATTGATACTCAGGATTGCGATGGATAGCAGAGATTGATGGTGTTTATGGCAGTGCGGGGTTTGACAATTGTTGACAGGGATAGGCCCGTGTATATATATATCGCGCACTTGACTCCCAAAATATGATGATGCGGAGGGCAAGACTTAACACCTGTACGCGGTGTCCTCTACGAACCTGGGACTGAAACATTCTCCTAGAGCCAAGTTCAGTCAAATTTCGCAATACCGAACAAATTGGCCCATGAGGCAATGATTCAAACTACTCCGCCACGTCAATTTTTCACTCCCAACGAGTTCGAATCCTATCCAAGCCTCATCAAGTCTACAAGTACGACCTAGTACATCCTCATTTAAATGATCACACCTCCTATAGACTTTCTCTGGCCTCAGCTGGTCACCAAATACACGCCCTCGCCAAAATTTATACCCAACGGAGGTAGCAAAGCGTGGCGCACAAATCTGGAAGACTCTTCTTTGGGATTGGCGTGAGAGGATTCAGGACAAGTTAACAAGATGATGCGACGGATGGATACAGTCTCGACGGACGTGGAATTTAGGATTTTGGCAAGGAGTTCTTAAAAATTGAGCTTTGTGCGCGCCAAGACTTTGGTTGCGAGAGTGCAGGCGACACTATAAACACCGCTTTAGTTGGATGGTGCGGTGGTACATCGTCTTGGCCGGTCTGCCAAGTAGAGTCTGGATAGCTTGAACACATATCCCACTTGAGACAGTAGATCGCTGGTTCAAGTCCGGCAAAATACAACCACATTTCTCGCGGCGCTGGTATGCATGGATGACGAAGGCATGCTTGGATAACCAAAGGTTTTGAAACGTCCCTTTGGTGGGTACTTACGGAGGAGGGTGGACTGTTTGTGTAAGCGAACAGTCCTCATAGTGGTATTTGCGAATGAAATTCAGAGTATGAGTGTCTCTAACGTCAAAAGAGCCATTCAACATGTATACATAGCACCGGTCATATGTCATAGCGAGATAGCTGAATACATATTAAATGATTTAAAAAAAAATATGATGATGCTTCTGACTACATTCACAACGCCCATACCTACTCTGGGCTAATCACCCCTTACTTTATCGGTCCTATCTTCTAATTAATGCCCTTTTCGCCCTTTTATCCTAAATAACAGGTCATGATATTCTTCGTCTTGCTGGCCATCATCAAGCTCAGAGTTACAGACAAATTAAACCTTTAACAATATGTGATGAAGTAAAGAAGACTTGATATTTTACAATCATAAGAGCATTGGACTTATATCTAAGGGAGAAATTCCCGCTAGGCTCATATGCCTGTCAAACCTAGTGATGACCAGCAACCTCTCATCTACCATGATGAGCCAAGGAACACTGTTGTACGTAAATATCCAAACTTATATGCGACAGTAGGCGCGATTAGCGCACTCGGGACATGTTTAGAGAAAGTTGATCTTGTCGGGAACCTGAGACGAATCAGATAACAGTTGAGTCATAATTTCGAGAGCCAGAATTTCCAACACCTTCGGCTTGACAGACTCACCGGTAACGTTCTAAAGATATTTTAAATGGGCTTTAAATATGGCCTGTACGAGTTTTGCTCGGCATACGCTCCTCGTATCTTTGTGCTTAGTTTAGGATCGTTAAAGTACTGTCAAGATAAACTCTTAAAAGTTCTATTAAATCTTCGTAAACTCGGTCTTCATTTTGATATCTCAAAGTCTGAACATGATACAATTTCAATGTAAGAAAAGCAGAAATTCTAGCTCCAAGTTACATATAAAATAATAATATAAGTGCGCATATACTAAGAGAAAAGCTGTTATGCAAACAACAATTACTGCGGTGAAAATTTTTTAGCAAAGCTGACTGCACATCCATTTTGAAGGGAACGGGAAATTATTCACTCTACACCATAAATACTATCTTATTTGCTGCAAATTAGCCGTGTTCTTATCTCGCACTAAATTTACGCCCCATTTCATACGAGCCTGAACAGGCAAATGCAGGAGAAGATCGCTCAATAGCGAAAAGAAATTAGAATGCATGTTACGGCGTTCACTTAGGATACAGGAGATTGCCGTCTGCCCAAGGTATTGTATTAATAACTTTTAGGATCATAGAAACTAGCGAAAGAAACTCAGAAATAATTCAACTGGCGAGGGGCCAGGTGGTCAAAGGCCGGAGAACTGCAGGATAGTTGAGAGACACAAAGTCACAAAGTTGAGTTGCGGAGTAAGCGAAACAGTCTGATAACTCAAGGTCAAAAGAGGCATGAAGAATATAACGAATAGTGAAAGCCTGAGAACATCAGATTATAACACTATTTACATGCTAGATTGCGAGACTAGAGATCAAAATAATGAATGAATGAATGATTGATTGATTGATTGATTGATTGATTGATTGATTGATCGATTGATTGAGAAGCTAGAGAGCTACTTAGTGGCAGCTCCAGCTTTCTCAAGTCTGACTTGAGACACTACTAGAACTCAACTAAGGCTATATTAGATGTAATCATGACGCTAGCCCTTCCATCTCCACTGTTAGATTTATCCCCAAAAACATTTTCCTTGAAGCTTCTTCAAAGATGCTTTCATGGATCAGTAAGTCTTAAACTAAGAGCTAAATTGTCATGAAGCAATGGATGTTGGATTGTAGCAGATATAGTCGCTTTGGCTCATTCAGGAAATGAGTAATGCTTATAGTCATTCAGAACAACTAAAGAGAGTC